CGATAGGGGGTCGATTATATCGTGCATCCCTAATTATAAGATCACAATATACCTTTAATATTTAAATTTTTTCCTAGAACAACATTAATCAGAACCTGTTAAAAAATAAAAACTTTCCCGTCAAATTTAAATCACAGTGGGGGATGTTCAGACCTTTGCAGAGGTAGAAAAGATTGCTGGATATAATCGGTTTTACATCCAAACATCCGCTGATAAGTAACTTTCAAATTATCTTCCAAAATTAAAAAAAGTCAAGGCCTGATTAACCGGCCAGCTGATCAATAAAAATCAAGTGCTACCTGTCGTCTGTTTAGCAGATCATTTGATCACTGCTGCACTTTATGGAATTGAAATGTTCATTTACCGTCTGAAAAGCTGTACTCAACGAGCTTTCGTTTTGTATATTTTGTGTATACATAGTGACGATAAAAGTTGTCTAAGTCTAAGATCTATCTATTGAATAGTTCAGGAAAAAATATTAACTTTGTGAAGTTAATATGATAATTTTTAGTCTCCATTCCAACCCTTTTCTGTTGCAGGGAACTAACAGTAGCCATAGCAATAAACACAGTGATACATGGTGGTGGTAGCATCATGCTATGGAGATCCTTCCAAGGAAAATTGGACATTCCTGAAAGAAAATCCGAAAGACCTGAGTCAACCCTGGACTTACAGCCAGAGGGATTTAGATTGAAGCATATTTAGGGGTTAGAAGAGCAGAGTCCAGGGTGTCTGCAACCTTTAAAATCCAAACAGGAAACACTTCTTCTTATTTTAGTTTCATATCTACCGTTGGAAATATGTTTCCTTTCAAAGATTCAAGTTGTTTAATTGTAATTTTAGCTTTTAAAACAAAAAGATGAGGCATCTTTCTTTTTTCCGTGGGATATTATTTAATGTAAAAAACAAACAAACACATAATTTCTGAACTAATAACTAGAAAAGTAGATCTACTTCTATTTCTGTTTTTTTCTGTTATGAAAATTCAAGTAATCTTAAAAAAAACCCCACTAAAGCTTCTTAGACTAGTTGGTTCTCTATATAGTTTGTAATCACTAACAAGAGTCATTGCAGAGGGTCCCAGGAGTCGCT